ATATGTAAAGAATATATTTATATTATTTAGTAGTATTCTGGTTTTGGCATTCGGTATCTTGTGCAGATTTATACATGATATTCTGTGGAATACTTTTTGTTGTTTTGAACCATTAAGAAATGCAGAATCGAATGTATCTAATAACCATTTTGATTGATCAAATTATATCATTTGTTTGTATTAGTTATTTCATTTTGGCACAACATGGTTTCCACACTTCTTTATCCATAGTCAATGACATCTGTAGAAGTTCACCCAACCGAACCATTGAAAAGACAATTGCACGTGATTATTCCTCGGTACAAAAAGTAACCAACTCTGAGGTTCTCTCAATATTGACAATCCCTAACTCACGTGTTTGTAGTAATATCGTAGTAGACCATCATGCTTTTCGGTTCATTCACGAGATTGGACCATTGTTTGCTGCAAACATGCGAGACAACGTGATCATGAATATTTCAATAAGAGGCGGTTTTTTATCCGACACGGAGAGAAAATAATTTACCAAATTTTATTTCATAACTTTTAAAAGTGATGGAGGGAAATTGTCTTATTTGCAGAAAGTATATAACTTACATAACTTGATGAGACACCACATATATTTATTACTTTTAGAATAAAACACTAATACGGCATATATAGCTTTAAGGCTTCCCAAAACCTTTATTCTTAATATGTTGACGCTGCGACCGTTAGAGCGAGCGCAAACTTGTCTGTTGATTTAATTTAGATCGGGCTCGTCAAACCGCACGTGACATTTGGTGCGTCTAGACTCTGACGTCACATGACGTTGTATGTGAGTTTCAATTCCAAGAAAAAGCCTGAACACTGCTGAAAGGTAATGAAGAACGTTTCGTTTTCTATTTATCTTCAATATATATACATTAAATCAAGGCGGGTAAACTTTTTGTTGAACATTTGTCGTTATTCTCGCGAGAACGTAGCTAAAACAAGTGATGCATTGTGGGTCGAAATTACGGCATCAAAAAAATCTATCGAATGAATGTGCAGTAGTCCGAATTTTCTCTTCGCACAGGCGTTGCTGTAAGAGCTCGCAGTGACGAGCGTCGCTTCGCGACGCTCGCTGCGCTCGCTATAAAGATGAATAAAATGAAAATTGTTGCATGAAAAAAATTCATTTCAAGCTTCATTTTGATGCATTTCATTGGCGAACCATCTCCTGTTAACTTTCCTTTAGGAGGCGCCAAAGGAAAACTCAAGCCTGTTCATCATTAAATTTTAATTTTTGGAGTTATCCTTCCTGGCCGAGGATTGGATATCCTTAAATATATTTATTTATCTGTGCATGTATGTACACAATTATTTGTATGGTCTTTATTATGCATTGATTTCTAAATTTAGAAATATTGAATTCCGCTTATTCCGAAACAGGTATATATTATCTTACACAATAAAAGTATTACATAGATAATATATAGAAATAAAATATAAAATTGATTTAATTGTTTTTACAACAATCCTTACATGGAAAACGCAGATCAAAAACCTTACTTACAAACAGTATTTCCTGACGGGAAGTTAAGATCTGTTGTGAAGTCAATTTAAAAAAAAAAATTATCGTTTATATCTAATAATGAAGATAATTCAAACCCGGGCATTTTTTTTGCATTAGTAGAAGACTTAGTCATAATACATCTTTTAAAAATTAAGAAATTAATTGAATATAATCCATAGTAATTTTTATATTAATATGCATATTTAAAGAATAAAGGAAAATCAGATATATTAAAAGATTTTTTTTAAAATTAGCTAAAATATTGTCCGTGTACAGTATATATGTACTTTGTTGTGAAAAAATGCTAGGGTTTGTTCTTATTGATATATAAATGTTAGCGATAAATAAGTATTCCACTTAAGTATAGTAGCGTGGTCCCTTTTTACACCCTTGGTTTCATGGATAGATAGTAGCAATGGGTATTTTGTATGTTTTCATTGTGTATAACAAAGTATTTCTAATAATATCATTGTGCATTCATAATGAATTATCAAATATATCAAAAAATACAAGCCAATTTTTAACACCCATCGCGCTACAAAATACCGGAACTTGTCCCTTCCATCAGACTACGGTTTTTCTGTTATATGTAAATGGGCGGAGACATTTAGATTAGATACTAAAAAAAGAATATCCGTGATATATAATATTTTTCCTTTCAAAGACGAATTATATGTTCAAGATTCACAATCAACAACTAAAACAATTTTCTATTCACAAAACTCTATATGTGAATGAACCACGATAACAAGATTAACCAAACAAGTCCATATGCTGACTGATACATGATCGACTGAGTACATTTCAACTGAGTGCTTGCTAGCACGTTTACTGTGGGCATTTACCTGTAACGACACAAATCCATGTGGCTTGTTGTGATTCGAGACAGGTCATAAGAGGTTAATCGCATGTAAATGAAGATAGCGAAGAGGTTCAAAATCACAATACTTGTAATTAGAAAGCATAGAGCACAAGGTTGTTCAACAAAGATATTTTTACTCAACCTTTACCCATATAATATACACATTATATATCAATCTCGACTCTGAACAAACATGTGCTCGGTGTTTACGAAAGCTTGAAAGTGTGTACCTGTCAGTGATTTCTTTTGATATTCATGAAAATCAAAGGACCCAAACTTCAAAACGCAGCTTCGTATTCTGCGTATATTTATTATTTGACATTTTTAGATGAAGATTCAAATAATAAAGACATTAGTTATTAAGAACATTTAATTTTTAAAGCCTTTGATACATGTTCGAAATTTGACGAGTAACCGGGGACCAAAGATAAGCCTTAAATGAGAATTGTCCTTTAATTTTTCGAAGGTGATTTCACCCGATATGAACATAGGATTATCTTTTGTGTGACCTAACAAAAATTATTTTTCTAACTTTTGAATTTTGATATCTTTTAAAAGAAAAAGACTTTTGGGATATAATTTGACGAAAGTCTATAAACAATTTATGGACAATTATTTTTCAAGAAAAAAAACGAATATATATTTTTAGCGATTAGAATCGGACCAAGCGACTTTAAGTGCACCTTTTCAACTGTTACCTAATTTATTTTTTCGTAATTGACATCTAGGGAGAGGGCGACAATTTTTTTAAGAATCTGTCTCCAATTCCTTTATAATTAGAAATTACAAGTGAATATGTTCAAACCAGAGGGAACAAGAGAATCCCTCTGAGTATTCTTCTTTCATTGTAGGATTAAGAAAATTATGGTAGATTATCCTGCAAATCTAACAGTCATGAATTATGCAGTAACATGGCTCCAAAAACCACATAGATATTGTCAATCAGAAACTCAAGCATCTTTTTGATGTCAACTTCAGAGTACTTGTGTGTGCAATCAGAATGTGTTTTAACAAAATAGTTTTGTAAATGACCTATGACCAGGTAAGTAAATTTACGAGTTCCAGTTTTATTGAAAAAGCAGCTGTCAATGATTTAAAAACCATGGACTTTAATTTATCGAAGGGAATGGTTGCGTATAAAGTTGAAAAGTCGTAAGCTTTTAAGCTGTTGATTTTGGTAAAATCTTGTGATTTCAAATTGTCCAAAAGTTCTTTGGAATTTTTGAGTGTCGTCATCTGATTCACACAACGTCTTGAATTTATTGTTGCATAGTATTCTTGAAGTTTTTCCTTACTTCTAAGAGTAACGAAAGAGGTTTGGCTGAACATTTATTGGAACCTGCAATGTATCTTTGTTTCTAAGGATTTTTATAAAGTTTCGGACTTTAATATATATGGAAGTTCAAATTCATTTTGGTTCTGTGGAAAATTAAAAATATTTAAATCTGACACATGACTTTGAAGAATTTCTTCCTTAAGTCAAATGCCAACTGAAGCTTTTTTTTACTAATTGTTAAGCTCTTATTTGAACCAAAGAATGGTCGATGGAATTTTGCCTTATTTCCCGATAGAGAAAATGCACATAGCAGGTGCAACCGGTCGGCACGAGATTTGCACTCCTTCATGATTCCTGATCTCATCTCTGATGTTTTAGAGGTTCGTGTTTGCTCTGCTCTTAATTTGTTTTGTTTGTATTGACTTTTGAGTGTGAATAATGTTCGTTGAATACATGCATATATCCATCTGGTTACAGATTAATTAATTATTTTATTCTGGAAAGCTGCTACATTAGCCCTGATAAAGCAGATGTTATGTATATCTCTGGCTTTGGGGCAGGAGAATTAAAGGTCTGACTCACTTGGAGTTGCAATTGATAGTCTGTTCAAATTAAAATACAATGTGACTGGTCGGCAAAACTTTTATGAAATAATTAATTCGGATGAAGATATCAAGATAGATTGATATTATATACGACATGTACTATGATTATCTTTCATTAAAAATAAAATATAAATCAATAATGAATTCCTGGAAGTAATATAAAAATACACTGTAATATATAGTTGCAATATTTATCCCCCTCAATTTAATATTTAAAAAAATATCTACATAAGTTTTAGCATTGATGCTTTGTAGGACTGTGGCTTAATTAATCATTCATAAAAGAAATACACTGAGCAATTAATTTTTCACATTCTATGTTCAATCAAATTGTAAACAACTCTTATATACTTACACAGGGGTATTTTGCAGAGGTCCAGTTATGCATGTATGTACTTGCAGTACTTTGTACTGTATGTAACATCCCAATATACTGTGGATCTCTAAATTTTTGCAACACCTTTTTTTCGCGATATAGTCATTGACTCTTTATTATAATTTTACTATTTATAATTTTCACGAATTGTTGTTTTCCCTCTATATAATCGTAAGGAATACCTTCAAACGCGAGAAAGAAATTTTTGCAAACTCATTGTCTTGTGAAAATACGCAAGAATTTAGTTCTCGCGAATAAAACGTGATTTACAGTGGTCAAGTGACCATTAATGCCCATGGCCCTTTTCGTATATTTGTGCTCTTAAATTCACAGGTATTATCAAAAATGGGTATAATATATTTCAGATCTTCATGAAAGACAATTAAAACAATGGAGAGAAGAAGATGAGGTTTACAGTGAAACTCACATTTTCCAAGAAATGCTTAACAAAGTCAGGAGACAACCTTATATGACATTTGTTGGAGTCCCGGGGTCCGGAAAATCATCAACCATTCATCACATAGCCCTGATACTCCAGAAAGAAGGTTACGAGGTTGTACCAGTTATAGATATCAGGAAGATTGAAGATTATTCTGACTCCCGTCATCCACAGGTTTTTGTCATTGATGATGTGGTAGGTGTTTTAGGTCTTCAAAGACAAAAGTTAGAGTTATTGATAGACTATGAAAAAAGAATTTCAGATCCTTCCAATAGAAATACAAAAGTATTAATGTCATGTAGGGAAGCAGTGTTTAATGAATGTAACAAATCAATTTTTTTCTCAAATGAAAAAAACACAATTAAGATGCATAGTTCCGGCAATGCATTGAACGATGAAGATAAAAAAGCTATCCTTCAGAAACATGGGTTAGATAGAGATTTGTTGTCCCCTGCATTACTGGGAGAAACATTGGGTATGTTTCCTCTGTTGTGTAAACTATACTCTAAAGAGGAGAAATTTAGTAACAATGTTGAAAGGTTCTTTACCTGTCCAGCTGAATGTATTTTAGAACAATTTAATGAAATGCAAAGGCAAAATAGTTTATGCTATGCCACATTGGTCTTGTGCATGTTGAATGATAATAAACTATCAAAAGAAACATTGAAAAACACAGGGAACAACGTTTTCCGGGAAATGAAATCAAAAGTACTAGAAAGCTGTGAAGTTGAAAGTTACACTGATACATTTAAATTTGTTAAAGCATTGGAAGCTATGGAGGGGACACACACAAAAGTCTTTGGTACTGAGTTTACCATTATTCATGACTCTGTATTTGAAATCCTTGCATATCATTTTGGTTCTCAGTTTCCAGATCTTGATTTGCAATATATTAGCAGTAGTTACATTGCTAATAACGTGAAAGTACAAGAATGCAAGAAAGAGTTAGAGGTTGAATGTAAACAAGATGAGAATGAGGAATTTAGTGGTGAGGAGCATGAAACATTAAGAACTGAAAGAAGCCAGAATTTGTATGATCTCAGTCTTAGGTTGAGAGAGGATCAGTGCCCAATGTTAGCAGAGCGTTTGTACAGAGATATTGAAAATATGGAGCTGTATGATGTTTTTATGAATGATGTTTTGAAACACCCCCGTGTTTGTCAGGCTTTTATTGAGGTGTTAAAGACAAAGTCCTACAAAGAGTTAAAGTCTTTATTTCTGTCAGTACAGAAAGACGTGTCTAAGGTAGTAAGTAAAGGAGCTGATTGGTGGTGGAGCTTGGAGTGGCGCAGACGGAATGTGCTACTGAATGTGAGAGTTACAACAGGTAATCCATACAGGGTGAGGGTCATCAGTTGGGTGGTGTACTACGGCCACACTCAGATCTTACAATATATTTTAAAACAAACTGATTTACACAAAGAAACAGAGATTGAACTTTTTTGGAATGTATATTGCTCAAAGGTAAACTATGAAGCAAAAATGAGTGGATTTAACATTAAAACAGATAATGCAACGGACAAATCATGTTTATGGAACTCCATTAGCAATACAAGAAATCAAAAACAGAACAATATTCGGATTGTATCCGAACTTGACCGCTTATTTCTATTGAGTTGTTATAGTGGAGATTTAGAGATTGTCAGAATATTAATCAAATATGGCGATATACAAAATATAAATAACAATACGCAATGTATATTTTATAATACACCACTGACAGCTGCTTGTGAAGGTGGACATATGAGTGTAGTGAAGGAGCTAATAGAAGCCGGATCTGATATTAATCAGAAAGGTAAGTTTCATACACCACTGACAGCAGCATGTGAGGGTGGACATATGAGTGTGGTGAAGGAGCTAATAGAAGCGGGAGCTGATATCAATCAACGAGGTGAGTATGATACACCACTGACAATAGCATGTATGGCTGGACATATGAGTGTAGTGAAGGAGCTAATAGAAGCCGGAGCTGATATCAATCAACGAGGTGAGTATGATACACCAATGACAGCAACATGTGGGTGTGGGAATGTGAGTATTGTAAAGGAGCTACTAGAAAAGGGGGCAGATATTAATCAACAGGGTGGGTATGATACACCACTGACAGCAGCATGTAAGTTTGGACATACGAGTGTAGTGAAAGAGTTAATAAAAGGTGGAGCAGATATCAATCAACAAGGTAAATATCATACACCACTGACAGCAGCTTGTGACGGTGGATATTTGAGTGTAGTGAAGGAGCTAATAGAAGCCGGAGCTGATATCAATCAACAAAATAAATATAATATACCACTGATAGTAGCATGTGGAAATGTACATATGAGTATATTAAAAGGTCCTATAGAAGCTGGAGCTGTTATCGGCCATCAAGAAAACTTTAATACACCACTGACAGCAGCATGTGAGGGTGGACATATTAGTGTTGTGAAAGAGCTGATAGAAGCAGGAGCTGATATCAATCAACAAGGTACGAATGGTACACCATTGATAGCAGCATGTAAGGGTGGGCATTTATTGTAGTGAAGAAGCTTATCGAAGAAGGAGTTGATATTAATCTGCAAGGTGAGTTTTATACACAACTGACAGCAGCATATGAGGGTAGGCATATTAGTGTAGTGAAAGAGCTGATAGAAGCAGGATCTGATATCAATCAGCAGGGTGAGAATGATACACCTCTGATAGCTGCATGTGAGGGTGGGCATATTATTGTTGTGAAAGAGCTGATAGAAGCAGGAGCTGATATCAATCAACAAGGTAAAAATGATACACCATTGATAGCAGCATGTAAGGGTGGGCATATTAGTGTAGTTAAGAAGCTTATAGAAGAAGGAGCTGATATCAATCAGCAAGGTGTGTTTGATACACCACTGACAGCAGCATGTGATGGTGGCCATATAAAAGTAGTGAAAGAGCTGATAGAAGCAGGATCTGATATCAATCAGCAGGGTGAGAATGATACACCTCTGATAGCTGCATGTGAGGGTGGGCATATGAGTGTAGTGAAAGAGCTGATAGAAGCAGGAGCTGATATCAATCAACAAGATTATATTGATACATCATTGATAGTAGCATGTAAAATTGGAGATGTGAGTGTAGTGAAGGTGCTCATTGAAGTCGGAGCGAATATCAATCAGCAAAATTGGTGTAATACACCACTGACAGCAGCATGTCAGGGTGGACATATTAGTGTATTGAAGGAGCTTATAGAAGCCGGAGCTGATATCAATCAGGACGGTAAGTATGATACACCACTGACAGCAGCATGTAAAGGTGGATATATGAGTGTAGTGAAGGAGCTTATAGAAGCCGGAGCTGATATCAATCTACAAAGTAAGATTGATACACCACTTAAAGCAGCATGTAGGATAGGGCATATAATCGTAGTGAAGGAGCTCATAGAAGCCGGAGCTGATATCAATGCACAAGGTGAGGATGATTCACCACTGATAGCAGCGTGTGAGGGTGGATATATGAGTGTAGTGAAGGTGCTTATAGAAGCTGGAGCAGATGTCAATCAACAAGGTGAGTTTGATACACCACTGACAGTAGCATGTGGAGGTGGACATATGAGTGTAGTGAAGGTGCTTATAGAAGCCGGAGCTGATGTCAATCAACAAGGTGAGTTTGATACACCACTGACAGCAGCATGTGGAGGTGGACATATGAGTGTAGTGAAGGTGCTTATAGAAGCCGGAGCTGATGTCAATCAACAAGGAGTAATTAATAAACCACTGACAGCAGCATATGAAGGTGGACATAAAAGTGTAATGAAGGAGCTACTTAACGCAGGTGCTGATACCAATCAAAAAGGTAAGTTTGATACACCAGTGACAGCAACATGTAAGGAAGGATTTTTGAGTGTCGTGAACGAGCTTCTTGGGACAGGAGCTGGTCTTAATGAACATAGTACACCACTGACAGCATCATGTCGGGTGGACATATGAGTGGCTACAATAGAAGCAGACTTATATCAATAAGGTTTGTCAGATACTTACTCCACAGGTAACATCGGATGAGGGTGAGAGGGGTAGATGTTATGAAGATTTACTAGAGGTTTAATATTTGAAGGAAGTGCTACAGGCTGGGGCTAATTATCATTTACAGGAGTTTTTAGTGCATATCTAAGGGTGGATATGTACATCTTTCATACTGAATAGTAGTCCTCTATTTACAAACTGAATTGACGACGGATTTTTTTCCGCTATTTCCCGACCATGACAAGGAACAAGGCTTGGGGTAATGTTAATTGTAATGGTAATGAATGACAATTATATGAACGTAAAGCAATGCCAGTAAATGTAATGTATTAATTCATAAAATCCAGTGTAATACTGGCATTACATAGCATTACAAAGCAATATTTTGTATTTACCTATATTTTTTAAAGAAATTAAAATAGACATAGGTGATGAAAATTATTTTTTTTTATTATTTACTTATTTTCATTATTATTATTATTATTATAATTATTATTTTGCAAATGATAAAATTAAATTAAAAATTTAACCTATTTGGATATTTCTGCTGTATCTATTTAAATATAATTTTTATTCTGTTGAAAGTATACTTACCGTTACATTTAAGTTTTCAAAATTATTTCAGATAAGAATTGATTACAAAGAATTTTATAGAAGTTTATTTTTAAAAAAAATCGCATATGAGATATACACTAATTAATGTACACCGAAACTAATAATTACCACCTTTTGCATAGCTAGAATGTTACAAAGACACACTGTCTATGCCTCCGTATTTAGGTAACAATAAAACAATGCATTGTTTGAAGAAATGCTCAAAATTACCAATCCTTTCTCCTGACTGTGTTTATAAAACATTAATTAAGCTGGTCTAGCTTGTACCGACCATGAAAAATACATACGGAGTATATATATCTCAGTTGATTCGATACGCAAGAGAATGCTCTACGTATGAACAATTTCTAAAACGAGGTAAATTATTGACAAGCAAGTTGACAAAACAAGAATATCAGCAGTCTCGTTTAAAGTCATCATTTCGTAAGTTCTATGGTCGATACAATAACCTTGTCAGCAAATACAGTTTATCATTGAGTCAAATGCTTACTGACGTTTTTCATACCAATTGTTAGTCCATTATTTATACACTGAATTGACGACGGATTTTTCCGTTATTTCCTGATCATGACAAGGAGCACACGGCGGGGGGGACCGGTCGGCAGGGGATGGTCACTCCTCCATGGCACCTGATCCCACCTCTGATGTTTCGGAGGTCCGTGTTTGCTCTGCTCTTATTTTGTATTGTTTTATGGACTTTGAGATTGAATACCGTTCGTATCTCCATATCCTTCATTGTACCAAAAGAAAATATAAGACATGCAGGCATTCTGTGCTTAGCAGATCAAAATATACATCCTGTCTACTTTTTGAAAAAAGTTTGTCAATGCATTTCAGCCTTTATGTTTTATTATTAGATAATTTAGGCAGGGTTTAAAGAGCCCCAAAAGTAAAAATGTTGCTTCATGACATCGATAGTTTTACAAAAAGTGGATATTGTGCATGTGCTATATAACTACCAATTTAAAAGTTTGAACTTTCTGTGAATGCAAGTTATTTACAGTGCAATATATACAAAAACTTGAAATCAAATTTGAGTCATCTTTTATCATGTTTAGTATTGAAGGGGGGTGAATACATGCTTATGAAAAATAACATTGCAATTTTTTAAAATAAATTTCTAGTTTTAAAAACCTAAAAGAAAGAAAAGTAATGTTGTAATGGTAATGCATTTCTTTACTAAAGTAAAAGTAATGTAATGCATTGATTTAAGAAAATAGAGTAATGGTTATGGTAATTTAATGCCCAAATTTTTTAAGGTATGGTAATGTTAAACATTACTTTACAATGTAGTTCGCCCCAGGCCTGCTGAAGGAACATACAGCGGGTATGAACGGTCGGTAGGGGATGCTCACTCCTCCATGGTACATGTACCTGATCCCAACTCTGAATTTTTGGAGGTACGTGTTTGCTCTGCTCCTATTTTGTATTTGTATGGGCTATGTATTTATTCTAAATATTCAGAGACAATTCTCCTCTGTAGAGAATAGGTTTTACTAAAATTAAAATCTTTACTCTTTACTAAAATTGTAATATTTACTCAATAGTTCTAAGTATTGATGATTAAAATTTTGAGTTTTATGTATAACATCTTTTGATAACACTGATTGTTGGACATAGTTTTAGATGGATATTCTCCCGGATTTGTTTGTGTTATTATTAGGGTAAGGTTCAGAGAGTATGATTCTGTGATACTCTAGCATTGGCAGTCAGTAAAGATCAAGCAAGACGAATGTTGAGTAAGTTTATAGGATAGGTGATACTTTTTTGGTAATCTTTACATATGGGCAAATTAGTGCAAAGTGTATTGAGGAATGTGCAAGTCAGTAAAAGAGGGATAAGTGAACTTGGACAAGGTTAAAATGATGGTGAAATTAGTATTGATGTCTGGGTTAGACATTGAGAGTGTGTCGGTTCTAGAGAGGACATGGTGACTTTTAAATAAGTTTAGAAAAATCGAAGATTTGTTTGACTACCAAAAACGTACTGAGAGGAAGATAATGCTAAATAAAGAAAAGAAACATGAGAGTTGATATTCTTAAGAAAAAAAGTAACTCTGTAAAATATACATTAAGTATTTTGAAAATACGAGCATATATCCTGACTTAATTCTCGATCTCTTTAAAAGGAGTCTTGAAATTTTGATTTGTTGATATTTATAGGCATGAAGATTTGCATTGTTTCAGTAAGAGATTGTTTTGATGTTTTGATCTGTGTTTATTCAGTATGTGTTGTTGTAAATTATATAAATTGTCCGACTCATTGTGTAATAAACATGTTTAGTTGCATTCTCATTTTGAATCATTCTGCAAAGGTGGAATAATTTTAGTCACATTTGTCAATGAGTGGAGAATATCATTCTTTACAAATTATTAAATTTTACTTGTTCACCCTTGACATTCATAAATATAAGAATCCAATATTTGATTCCATACTTCAATGTTTGAAATTCTGGATGTAATGCGACAATTGTTTGGTTAAAAATCAAGTTCATATCATATGAGAGTTGCTGCAAAATTATGTGAATGCTCAGTTACACTTTATCTTTTAGGTTTTATCCCGTATTGTCCCTAATGGTTTTTATCTTGAAATGTTGTATATTAATGTGTTAATATGATGTGTGTTATATTATTGCTTTTGTTTAAAATAAAAAAAAAATAATTAATGAAATGAAAAAGGTAGATTTTTAGAATAGATCTTTAAAAGAGTCAAAAGATTTGTTAATATATTTTTTATGAAGTCACATAATAAAAACATTAAAAACGATGCTTATCATTCATTTTACTTTAAGGTACATATACATAAGTTTTTGAGCATTATTTTTGCCTATTGAAAAGTTTACTTAATTGAACTTGATCGTGTCATTGTATATTCAGAAATATATTCAGACATATATTTAGATCATCTGGTGTTTTTCAACTTTTGTCGAAATGGTTAGATGTGTTGATTTGATTTGATTTAGCTTATGTCTTAATTTTTTTTATTTGTATATTACTGTAAGACATTTAGCAAGTGTATTTGAATAAGAAAGAGTTTCTTTCCGCCAAAAGCACTAGAAAGGATAAATAGCTAAATGTGATAAGTTTACTGTATGTTGCTCAATTCAATCGTTAGTTTTCAATGAATATTTTGTAAATCAAATCAGTGGACAATTTATGATCGATTAGAGTAATGTTTAGTTGTTTCAAGTAATATTCACTTTGTACCTCAAATGAATTTTATTCTTATTTTGAGTTAGTAATAAAATTACTGTAATGTCACCCTTCTTTAATTTTTTAGCTCTTATACTCGAAGAGCTTATGCGATAATATGGTGTCCATCGTCCGCCAGTCCGTCTAGTTGTCTGTCTGTCCGTCTGTAAACAATATAAAAGAAATTTCTTCGAAATATTTCAAAATGCTACTCCTCCCACAGTTTTGGTCTGATTTCAATATAATTGGCACACAAGTAAACCACACTAAGATACTCTGTTTAGCGATTTTTGATTTCGATGAACGGTGTTGCCATGGCTACAAAAAATAGAAATTTCTTTGAAATATTTTCAAAATGCTTCTCCTACAGTTTTGATTTACTAGCAATAAATCTTTGCCTAAAAAAATCTTAAGCAATGAAATTTTTTTTAAGTCTGTAGTTTTGCTCTCGCAGAGTTTCATCTTCCAATGCTACTTTTCTCTTCCTTTTTTATAAGTTTAAACCAGTAGAGCGACAGTCTCGTCAGAGACTCTGGTCTTTCTTTTCAGGCTGAAGATCACAACTTACAAATAAACAGCTTCCAATATTTTTAATATCAAGAATCTACGGCGTCTAAATATAAAACATCTGAAACATAATCCTCCAATTGAAACTTGTTAGTGTTCTTCCTAACCCCACAACATTAGTCCTTCTGAACACTCCATTTCTAGTGATGTAAAAACAATTATTAATGAGAATATTAAATCACTAATTTTAAATAGGATAAAATTAGAGAACCCTGATCTTTCAAGAGGAGCCCAATTTTTTTTAAAATATGAATTCTGTTGAAAATCACACCAGACAACTGGCTAAACATAAAAGACCTTGACAGTTTGTCAGATGGATAAAACATGTGGGGAACAGTATTCGAGCTCAAAAGTCCATCAAACAATACAAAATAGGAGCACATCAAACACGGATCTCCAGAACATCAGAGTGTGGGATAAGGTGCCATAGAAGAATGAGCATCTGCAGCCGAACGGTCACACCCGCCTTGCAATACCTGTCATGTTCGGGAGAAAACGGAAATATCAGGTGAAAAATCAGAGTGTATAAAACGTCAGTCAGTATTTTACTTAATGATAGATTGTATTTCCTGACAAAGTAATTGTATCGACCATAGAACTTACGAAATGAAGACTTTAATAGAGACTGCTGATATTCTTATTATTCTGTTTGTCATTAACTTACCTCGTTTTAGAGATTGTTTGTACGTAGCAATGCTCTTCCATATCGAATCAACTGATCGAAAGATATAAACTCCGTATACAGGTGATGACAGCATTTTTCTGCATAAATAAGGGAAGTTGACGATTGAAAAGTTAAGGTCATCATCTTTATTATCATGAAGCTTTGTTGTTAGATTACCACTAACGTCTTTTCCTAGTCAAACATCCAAGTAAATGAATCAGATGTGTCAGGCTCTCTGGTATCTATTATTTCAAGCTTACCGGGATATATTGTGTCAACTTAAGAATGGAAATGACTATTTTTATTTGACAATACGTAGTCTATCTTTCTAAATGTCGAGTTGAAGGTCACAGCAAGTGTTTTTTTTTCACGTAAAAGATTTTGCACAAATTTTGCGGGAGTTTCGGTTCAGGTACTACAAAAAGAAGGATATGAGGTTGTACCACTTATAGAGATCAGTTAGATTTACCGTTATTGTGACTTCCACAAGCCACAGGTGTTCGTTATTGATGATGTGGTAGGTGAGATGGGCCTTCAAAAACAAAAGTTGGAGACTTTAGTTGACTATGGAAAAATTATTTCAGATCCTTCCAGACACACAAAGGTACTGATGTCATGCAGGGAAGCTGTGTTTAATGAATGCTATAAATCTTTTTTCTCAAATAACAAAAATGTAATCAAAATGTTGGTTTCAGAAAATGCATTGAACGATGATGACAAAAAAGCGATTCTTCAGAAACACAGCTTGGATAAAGATTTATTGTCCCCTACATTACTAAGAGAAGTATCTGCAATGTTTCCTCTTTTGTGTAAACTATACTCAAAAGAGAAGAAATTTAGAAACAATGTTGAACGGTTTTTTACCTGTCCATCTAGATACATTTCTGAGGAATTCGACAGAATGCAAGAACAAAATAGATTACATTATGCTACGTTGGTCTTATGCCTGTTAAATGACAATAAATTATCAGAAGAAATAATAGAAGACACAGAGAATAAGGCTTTTTGTGAAATGAAATTAAAAGCATTGAATAGCTGTAAAGTTAGAAGTTATACGGACGTTTTTGAATTTGTTGATGCATTATCAGTAATGGAGGGGACATATACTAAACTCTGTGGTTCTGAGTATACCTTTATTCATGATTCAATGTTTGAGATCATTGCATATTGGTTCTCAGTTCCAAAATCTCATTTTACAATTTATGAGTAGTAATTATATTGCTAACTATGTAAATATTCAAAAAGATGAAATGCTTAAATTAGAGAATGAAAATAAACAAGCGAGGGAAAATGTTGCAGTAGATAGTGGAGATAAAAATGAAATAATCACTGCTTGTGAAAGTTCACAAAACGGGGAGAAGGGAGTATTAAGTGCTGAAAACAGTGATAAAATGCAGTCATTCGATCTCTGTTTAAGGTTAAGAGAGGAGCAATGTTCTATGTTAGCTGAGCGTTTATTCAGAGATATAGAAAGTATGGAACTTTATGATGTTTTATTGAATAATGTTTTAAAACACACTAAGGTATGTCAGGCATTTATTGAGGTGTTAAAAACAAGTCCCATACCGAGTTAAAATCTTTATTTCTGTCAGTGCGGAAAGATGTGTCTAAGGTAGTGAGTAAAGGAGAGCGTGTGAGGGAGTAAAGTAAGAAGAGAGATATAAGGAACAGGGAGTGGCACAGACAGAGTTTGTTGATTGAATTTATAAAAGGGACATACAACGTGCGGGTTATCAGTTGGGTGGTTTACTACGGACATAGTCAGATACTTCAATATATTTTAACAGAAACCGAGATGCAAAAAGAAAATCATTCTGAACAATTTAAGATTTTTTTTAAATCCTGATTTAAGCTATTCGACAAAACATGGGGAAATGAACATTACAGCAAATAATTCAAGAAATTTATGGCCATTCAGCATATTGGACATTGATGGATCGATCTCTGAACAACAACGCTTATTGTTGCTGAGTTGTTATAATGGTAATTTAGAAATTGTAAGAATATTTATTGAATATCTTAGAAGAAATGCAGTTAACATGGGCTCTCAATATTTGGATTTTGAAAATATGACTGGTGACACACCACTTAAAGCTGCGTGTGAGAGTGGACATCTAGATGTGGTAAAGGAGCTGATAGGGGCAGGGGCTAATGTTAATCCACAAGATGAATATGATACGCCATTGACACTTGCATATAAGGGTGGATATATGATGATCGTAAAGGAGCTGCTCGGGGCAGGGGCTGATATTAATCCACTAAATGAGTTTAATACACCGCTAGTAAATGCATGTGAAGATGGACATCTGAATTTAGTAAAGGCTCTGTTAGAGGCAGGGGCTTGTGCCAATTCTCCAGGTACCGGTACCTATGATACACCACTGATAGCAGCGTGTAGAGTTGGACATCTGAATATAGTGAAGGAGCTGCTAAAGGCAGGGGCCGAGGTTAATCTACACGGTGAATTCGGTACACCATTGACAACTGCATGTGAGGTTGGATTTATTGATTTAGTGAGATTGCTGCTAGAAGTAGGGGCTGATGTTAATCCACAAGGTGAATTTGATTCACCGCTGACAGAGGCGTGTAAGGGTGGATATTTCATTGGCCCGATGTTAGCACTAGTGTTTTTAAAAGATGGGATATTTACAGTCTGATTAAAACCAGCCCCCTTCTCCTTTCACTAGTCAGACGAGTGAAAGGAGAAGGGGGCTGGTTTTAATCAGACTGCGATATTTATATTTGGCCAACACAGGCCAAATTATTTTACTGCAAACTAATTGATGGTGTCATTTTTAGCTGCTGAGCTTTACGTACGGACAACGTTGGTTCCAATTTAGTTTTAATTTAGATGCACATTCTGAAATAATTAAGAGGACATTCAATGTCCATGCTATTAATTGGATGACTGTTTTTATTTAGATCAAATGTTTTCAATATTTTAACTTTGAACTTAAGTGATCACAGCACCAAAGAGTGTTTTATTATATTTTTTTGAATTGTGCACATGCATGCTTATTTATTTGAAATAAAATCCTTGAAATAATGAATTTTTTCATGAGCGTTGTATTCATGACTGAATAAGTTCTCAGGGACAGGATGTGAATGAAGCCTACATATACATAAATCAAAATGACACAGCTTTATAATTAAATGGAAACAAAAGTTAGGCGTTCGCTAAAGATTGGAGAGTTCGTTCGGGAATCAAATTACACCAAACTGTGGATTGAGCTGTCAGATTCAATTGCTCACAGGTTGTGATAGACTGAAAATACAGGGCAAGCAAGAAGAAGTGAAATTTAAATTTTTGGATTATACACTTGCTATAGCTGCATTTAGAAGCAATGTATGTATATTTATTCTTATCTATTCAGGTTAACTGTTAAAATTGATTCGGAATTTATTCTTTTCATGTTTTTGCACACAAGCACTGTAAGTTAAGGTTAAATAACATCTTTTAATTTGTTTCTATCTAATTCTTAACTGTCTATTACAGACACGATTGTAACAAGGAAAGTAAGGTGCACTAATAGTATGATACATCATTCTCTTTATTTAAAGATTTAATTTAAGTAATATCTTTTCAGAAGTTGGACCAGTAATTGTATTATTTTTGATATCAAACTATTTTGTATTTTCAGTCAGAGACTGCAAGGAAAACAAATGTTGTGGCGGTAAATAGCAATGAAATCGAAGACCATGCATAAAGAAGTGTATAAAGTACGAGTACGTATGACAAAGATCAAGATGAAGAAATCGGGAGGCGGAGAAGGGACGGAAAAAGAGCGGGAATACAACAAAAGGACAGTAATAAAGGGAGTGAGCTCTGATTAAAAACTTTGAATTGATAATTTTTCATAATTTACCTCTATTGTCTATTTTAAAATTTATTTTGTAAATTATGATTGAATTGATGTATATAAAATATTTTCACAGTGAATCATTAGTAATGTTTTTTCATTGCCCATGTATGCATTATGAATGCAGATTGAATTGTGTATTAATTTTTTTAAACAGTCATAAAATAGGTTTATGTAAAGCATCACTTAACCAATTTCAAATGTTTCTATGTAATAACTACGTTGGCCAAACAATTCCCCATCTGATATTGTAAAAAAAGGGGTCAACATCGGGCCTACCTAACCAACCAGTTGTTAAGGTTGGCTGTTAGTTGGCAAACACTAAAAACTACGTTGGCCCAACAATATGCCATCTGACATTTCAACATAGGGCCAACGTTGGGCCAACCTAACCAAACAGTTGTTAAGGTTGGCTGCTAGTTGGCATACACAAATAACTACGTTGGCCCAACAATATGCCAACATGTTGGACCAACGTTGGGCCGATAAGCAAAATTACAGTGGGCCAACGTTGAAAAAAAAACTGGGCCAACGTTGGCCCAACTATGTCTTGCTATCTGGGAAGGTAAATTAGAAAAGTACTATTGTCTATAATTCACTACATTCTCCGGCCCACCAAAGTGTCCATGTTTCACAACAATATGTCATGTAATGTAGTGATTGAATAAATACAAAGTTATAAATTTCATAACATTCTCCGGCCCACAAAAGTACGAATTTACTACATTCTCCGGCCCACCAAAGAACGAATTGAGTAAGTCCTTGGACCGAGAAATAAAAGGGAATTTGAATGATTGATGAATAAAAAATCCCCGAAAAGTTAATCGCAGTGTCACATAAAATGTAACGCTCTTTCACATTGGTTTAGTTCGGATTTGCTCTTTGTCTTTGAATTTGATACCATCACAATGTATGAACAAAGTCTTACACAGGAAATTGTGTTTCTCATCACTCTAATGCCCAAAGTACTTCTTGATGAATGCGTTCTCCTTGGCTTGAATTTGCTCCTTATGCTGATCAATCTTATGATCCATAATCTTCACTCTCCTCTTCATCTCTGCGATCTCATCCCGTGACTCGATGATGTTGTTACTGTATGTCTTCTCGACATCTCTGAAAGACTTGTACATGTTCTGTTGCTTAGTATTGGTGTCATTCGCGGAAATCCTTTTGAAGTCAACAATCTGCATGCCATTAACTGTGTTATCCTCTGCGTTATTCTGAGTTAGATTGTTGCTCTCATTAGTGTAGCGGTTTCGTTCCTTTTCCAGTTGGTTGACGATGTTCATCTTTTCCTGGGTCCCTACTCTGTAACTCTGTTCCAGGTTATTCTTATGAACGTTGTCTAGTTTCTTGGATACCTCTGACCCCCTTTTCAAACCAGTAATTTGACCTCTTTGAGTTTCTCTCTGCTGCTTTTAATCTGAATGAATATTTTCTCCCACTTGTTGAAGTTTCCTTTGAGGTGCCCCCTTTGATGATGTTTCTTTTAGAATTTTTTCATCCAGATCTCTGAGAATTTCCTGTTTGCCTGCCAATGTCTCCAAAATTGTCTCAATTTCCTCTGCATCTGCATTTTCTTCATACAATCTTTTCAGAAGTCTGGTTACAGCACTTCTCTGTCCTGCTCTTACTGCCTTCAGTTTAGAAGTCATCTCTCCTTTTTGGTCACGGCACCAATGTCAAGATTGTAACACTCATAGAAAACACATCTGAACCGTACAGTGGTTTATTTGAAACATAACAAGTATATAACATAACGTTATAGTAACGTCAATGACGTCAGAGTACTATGACGCCATAGTGCGGTAAAAGTCATACATAAACATGATCAAGGTAAATTAGAAAAGTACTATTGTCTATAATTCACAACATTCTCCGGCCCACCAAAGTGTCCATGTTTCACAACAATATGTCATGTAATGTAGTGATTGAATAAATGCAAAGTTATAAATTTCATATGGGATTTTATTCAGTATTTACAAAACAAACTTCTGAAATTAGGTTATTTAGTAGAAAGAATCTAAAAACATTATACTTACCTTCTATATAATCTATATACCTATTAGCCAATATTTCTTCTTCTAAGACCTTAGCTCATTTCAGTCAATGTTACTAACTCAAACATTTCTATTATTACCCTTGCACCATATGCAAAGAGCTATTATTGATGTTGATTTTTGCATCTCAGTATCTATTAGTAAGAGACTGGAATGCATTCATGGACTTTCTATGGACTCGTTTGTACTCTACTCTTGTAACAATGATTAAAAAATATACTGTAATGAAATTTATGGAGATAGGATTCAAGATAAAAATCCATTCGTACATTACAATGAAGGACCAGGCCAAACACGGACCTCTAAAACACCAGAGGTGTGATCAGGTGCCATGGAGGAGTGAGCATCCCCTGTGTTCCTTGTCATGATCGGGAAAAAATGGAAAAACCCGTCATCAATTCAGTGTATACAAAAAGGACTAGCAATTAGTATGAAAAACGTCAGTAAGAATTTGATTCAATGATCAATCGTATTTACTGACAAAGTCATTGTATCGACCATAGAACTTACGAAATGATGACTTTAAACGAGACTGTTGATATTCTTGTTTCATTAATCTGTTTGTCATTAATATACCTCGTTTTAGAAATTGCGTTTCGAGTCAACTAATACATATAAACTCCGAATGCAGGTGATGAAGGTACAGCTCAACACACTTTTTAATCTCACGTGGTTTTTCGCACCAATTAAAGTCACATTGTTATAATGTAAAATTGTGTAACGTGACTACAAGATATATTTTGTGATAGTGATTTACGTATAACTTAATTTTTATTTTATTCCATAACATTGAACATTATTTACACATAATAATTGGTAGGATTTTTATGAGCTCTAAGATGATATAGTATGATAGTTCCTAAATAATTCTTTTCATGGTTTTTTGTTAGATGCTGTCGTCTTTTCATCCGTTCATTTCAAAGCATACCTTTGCATTGCCTAAATAAAGAAACAGTACAGTTGATGTAACTTCTGCATTTCTAAGGCGCAAGACGAGAGAAGTATTTCTCATCTGTTTTACTGCTTCATGTTAAAAAGATTACAATTTTTCGGGTTAAATTACTGATATCTAGCATCGTGAAAGATACCTTCCAACGCAAAATTTCAAAGTT